AAAAAGCCTTATGGTGGAAAAGAAGCAAAGCAGCCAAAGAAGGTGCAGGAACATCCAATCCAATACCAGGACTCTTTCCCCTAGTAGTTTGCATTTGCACATTAGATGGTGAAACCGAAGTGCAAGGTGGCACAAAGTCAGACAAAATATGTTTGGCTTTCCTTCTCTCACTCTCATGTGAAAAAGAAGAAGAGAATGTCAACAAATGAGTAAAAAATTAGGTTATATCCCCGATTCAGTCCCTCAATTTTCATTTTTGAACTAAAACTACCCTCGAACTTCAAAAAGTACTAAAAAAATCCTTGAACTTCATTTTTTGGGACCAATTTCGTCCTTCCGTCGACAGAAATGACATATGGCAAGTTAAGTTGCCACAAAATCAATTCTTGTTTGAAATCTTTAATTACGTGGAAAATAACTAGTCCACGTCATCCCTCATTACTCCGATCATCCCTCGTTACTCCGGTTATCCCTCCGGTCATCCCTCATTGCTCCGATCATCTATTACCACTCCAATCACCATCAACTTCTTCCCCAAACCTCCTCCCTAATAGAACTCAATAAATCTGATTCAAAAAATCAATTCCTCTACAAATGTATACCAGATCTGCAAAGAAAAATGGAAAAAACACCACATTCCTTCAATCAACATCAACAGTAACTAGATCTGGAAATTCAAGCAATCAGAAACCACACCAAACTCTAAATCCCATTCAAGCATGACTGCAAGCCAACAAAGAAACAGAACAAAAAAACCCAGGCAGATTCGACTCAAACCCAGGTGGGTTCGACTCAAACCCAGGTGGGTTCGACTCAAACCCAGGCGTTGGGTTCGGAACCGAGCGCCTGGGTTCGAGGAACGTTCGAACCCAGGCGTGCTGGGTTCCATCGAACCCAGGCGTGCTGGGTTCCATCGAACCCAGGCGTCCTGGGTTCCATCGAACCCAGGCGTCCTGGGTTCCATCGAACCCAGGCGTCCTGGGTTCCATCGAACCCAGGCCGAGGAACCCAGACGTTGGTGCTGGGTTCCTTCGAACCCAGTAAGGGGGGAGGAGAAAAGGAAAGAGAAGGAGAAAAAGAAAGGAAAGGAAAGAAAAAAAAAATTTATTTATTAAATTATATTTTTGGTGCCAAGTCACCATATTTTTATAATTTAAAATGTCACATCACTCATTTTATTTCCAGATAATATTTAATATTAATAAAAATTGAATTTGTTAACGGAAATGTTGCCATGTCAGCACTTAACTGACGGAAGGACTAAATTGGTCCCAAAAATTGAAGTTCAAGGATTTTTTTAATACTTTTTGAAGTTCGAGGGTAGTTTTAGTTCAAAAATGAAAGTTGAGGGACTGAATCGGGGATATAACCAAAAAATTATACATGATCATGCCTTAAATCACTAATCAAATAATGTTACAGAGCACCACCATACTGTCACCTGTTTCTGTCAATTACGAAGAAATTAGCATCCAACAACAAAAGATAACTACACTTCTTAAGAGTATAATTACCTAGCAGCTATCCTGATGAGCTATAAATACTTTTCTACAAAATGGTATCGTACAAGAAATTAATTTTCATCATCATAAATGTCTCCCTACCATCTCCAAAGCCATTCTCCAATTTTCTGACATACGTTCTGCTTCCTACAAAAATCTGTTTAATCACGATCGGTCCATTTGTTGCCCCAATGGGTGGCCCCTCTCATCTGCTGATGGGAAACAACAATCATAAGGTACCAGGGAAGGAAAGAGGGCAAACTGAAACTAGTACAGTACAGTTGGGTATCAGACTAATATGCACGCAGCATCCACACAAAGTAGCTTCAGTTCAGAGTGCAGATTTGACAAAATTTTAGGAACAGTTTGCTTGTCTATCTCTTAAGTACCACAAATATAGTTCATGCAAATTTTTATGAGTCTGCAGAATTAACTACTACATAAACAGAATGCTTCCTTATTTAAAGTCAGTCAAAATGCAAGAGGTGGCTAATGATAACAAGTAACAGGCACAATTTTACTGATAATTTGTTTGTCTGTTTCTTTAGCTGCACAAAAACAATTCATGAATTTTTTTTTTTATAATTTTTTAGTCCCACCATCCAGCATCTTCTTTCTCTTTAATAGACTGAGTGATATAGTGAGTTCCATTTTCCAAGACACCATTTGCTTTAATAGAAAACAAGTGGGCAGTCCCCTGCAAAACAATCTGGAATTTAGGTCATAGCTCAGTGTAGGATTTGAACATACCACTTTCACCATCAGATATATCAGCCAGCCTTGCAATTGCATCAATAAGTGATTGCTCATGCTCCTGCATTGACTAGTAGGGATCAGTTAACCAACTTGATAATAGAAATATGCTTAAGAAAACTTTCATGGCTACTCTCTTGACCTTTAATTCTCTCTTTGCTTTCTCGATCTCAAGCGGGTCAGGATGATTTGTACCAAAAACCCTCTCCACCTGCACACAGTACAGTAGCGAAAAAAAAAAAAAAAGGCATTTGTTTACACCTTCCTGTAATGGATCAACATACCTGTGTAAAATTCCACACAAGGACCAACATATTTTCACTTACCTCCTTGATTAAAGTATCTGTGTGAAGAATTTGAATATCATCTGCAGCTCTCTTTCCAATGCCATTCTCTGATGGCAGAAAATCTTTTCTATATGAACCCTTCGTGATACCTCTACCTCTACCTCTTCCTGTGCCTGACACACCATCACAGCCAGCAGATCTACTTATTCGACGCCCTGATCCACCATAGCCTCCACGATGAGGAATTCCCGGGTCCTCACCTTCCCATTGTAAGTCCTCTGGAGGGATCTGCCATAAGCAATAGAATAAATACAAGACAAAACAGATGACTTGTTAATCTGGTATACCATCTATGGCAAATATGGTTTAGGGTTTAGACACTACAGATACACTATAGACTAAATTATTGAGTAAATATAAATGGTGCTAGAACAGAACAATAATCACAATTATAGATGCTACAAAGGAAAGTGATGAAACCAACTAGTTTTCTACAAATTTAAAAAAAAAAAAAAACTTTTAATTCGAATGTGAAAGAGAAGAATGCCACATATACCTCTAAGAGATTAACCCACTCCCATGTCTCATTTACAGTACCCATATCATAGACCAGAGCATGTCGTCCCTAACAAAGAAAACAAAAAGGTTAGCAGGTATTACATCTCAACTAAACTCCATATGCTTGTAGACCTGCTTGGTGGAGCTTATCCTTCAACTTACTAATAAGCACTTTTTCTCTCTCAAGTTTAAAAATTTTTTGAAGGGAAAAACTACTCTGCCAAACACCATCACAGTCCTACCTCAACTCGATTGTAATCGGTTATAACAGCTTCGTAGAAGTTATTATCCTCCGGCCACCTGGTTCTCACTCTTGTTCCAATTAATGGATCGCATGCTGCTCCTTCAGCAGGCTCACTCAGTACTGCAGCACTATTAGATACTCTATTAACTACCTGACCTCTTCCAGTTTGTCCTGAGGAAGGGTACTGTGTGGATTTCATTGAAGATGCACTGGGCATACCCTATTGAGAGAATAGAAGAGAAACAAACAAAATGAGGTATAGTTTATGAACCCTACCATATAGCACTTAAAAGTTCATGATTCTAACTCACTGGTTTATGTTTCTTGCCCTTGGAGCCAGTTAAGGTTCCTCGTTTGGCAGCCAAAGAAGACGGCTGATGGGATGGAGCTGTTTGTGGGTGAAATGATGGAGATGGCCCACCAAATGGTTGCAAAGGTACTGACTGGATAATTGTCTGTTTCTTCCGAGATGCAGAGACAGCAGGACTGGGTACAGGGTCATGAACAGCTTGGGAAGCATTGAGCATGCTGGATTGAATCCCACCTACTTGTCTCCACTCCCTAATGGAATTAATGAAATAACTATTGTTTTACTGATTGGTTTTATTTTAAATAAACAATTATGTTCAGAAACTGAACCAGACCTTATCCTCCGTATGACATCATCTGCATTAACCCTACCCAAAAGTTCTCTATGCTCCTCATTTGATAATCTCAACTCTTTTCTAAGTTCTGTTATCAAACTCTCCTTCTCCTGAACAAAATACATTTTAGGTAGCAATCATTAACATTGATGAAAAATATGCAAAGGTATTAGACATATTAAAACAAAAATTACACAATACCCAAGTAATGGCGTCAGCTTGAGCTTTAAAGGCTCTAAGCACTGAACTGTATGCTTCTTGCTCAAGGTGGTGAATTTGAGCCTCCATATCAGTTTCATTGTCATACATCCTAGGGTACTGCACAGAAGCTATGGCAGATCTTCCATTCCCTGTAATACGTCCCCCTCTAGCTATTCTATTCTGATGTGATGGAGGCAGATCATCATCGGTTCCTGAAATGAATCAAAGTAATGCAAAATGCAAAGTCAATTGCAGCTTGACTAGAATTTACCAAAAGAAAATCACTTCAATAGCCTGAGGCTGACAGATCAAGAAGGTTAAAACAAATTATTTAAATTTAGGAACAGACACAGAGAAAAAACCAATTCCCATCTTCTATGACAATCATGTCATGGGGCTGAAAATAAGTCTATAAAGCACATGCCTAATGTCTGTATAGAAAGTCCAACAGACCAAATCCCAATCCTTGAGAAACAGGGTAACACATAGCTCCTTTGGGGTAAGGTAAGTTCTTGGTGAACTTTATCATAGAATAAGAGACAATAAGGCCATGTTGCACCACAAAGATTGAAATGTGTTAACAGCATTTCTTCTACCAAAGGGTAATCATAGGATAAGACAGCACAAGTGGTTCTTGAATAAAACATGCATGCTTACTAACACTACACTCAACAAGCATCATCAACTGAATTATTAGTTTAAAAGAACAACTAAACGTAGAAGTTCATGCATAACACATTCATATCCTCCTTACTCCTATTTCATGTCTACGTCCTATGTAAGACATACGAATGGAACATCAGAAATTACTTGAACATATGATCTATATATGAGTTCGAATTGCACTCTCTAAGGCAACCCTCCAAAGTCTTTTAAACCATTATTCTATCAAAAGCCAGGTTAAGCTCGGAATATAGACTAAAAGATGATTTAGAAGAAGGAATTTTTTTTTTTTTTGTTTTCCCCTTGTTCAGTAGAAAAACAGCTCAAGAACAGGTTAAAGCTGTAAAAGTGTATATATGTATATATGTACCATCCACCCAAGACGGCAAGAGGAATGCTTTTTTTTTCTCTCTCTCTCTCTTCTTTTTTTTTTTTTGTGATAATTAGCACAACCACAACATTACAAGTCCAAATTTTCAACCAAAATGTAAGCTTTTATGCTGATTATATTAAATTATTACACCCCAGCAAAACCCAAGATATTTAGCGAGAAGATAAAGCAGCAAAGAATTGAAAGCTAAGAAAATCGAAACCCTAAATGGTGTCATCAAAAATAAAGTTGAAGAGCCTAAGTTAAAAGAAAAAGATTTGATGATAGAGAGCAAACTTACTCACCACTGCTATCATAAGGTTCGTAGTCCATGGCCAGGTTGAACCCTACAGGAGGCCAGAGGCTACAGCGCAGCTGTGTAGCTCTGGAAAACGAAAGCTTAAATACTTTAAACCCTAAATTGGGAATTTGAAAGCGCGTCAGCAGCAGCAGCAGCAAAGCAGAAATGGTGAGGTGGAAAAACAGAGAAAGAAAAAACGATCGAAAGCCTCCGTCTTTCTTGCCTTTGAGCTGTCAAGATAGTAATGGCGGCAGCAGCAGCAGCTACAAAAATATAAATAAAAAAAAAAATTAATTGCAGTGGAAAAATCTTTGCAATCTCATCAATTTTTAGAAGAAGAAGAAGAAAGAGTTGCATTTGGAGAGCGTACTGAATAATTCATTTTGGTGGAAAGTGAAAACAAAACAATTCAATAACAAAAAAAAAAAAAGCGAGACATGTAACGGTGTGTGTGTATGTATGGATTGTTTCGGCCCAAGAGGATGGATCGATGGCCCATTTAGCCCAATCCATTGCTCCTAATCTGGGCTCTGCCCTGTGAATTTTGTGAGCTGCTTTAACTTTGAGAATAGGGATTCATTAGACACTACAACAATTTTCTCTTTTTTTTTTTTAAGGAAAAAATGGGAAATTAAAGAATTTTAAGGATTTAAAAAAAAAAAAAAAAAGTTTAGATGTAAAGAAGACATAACATAAATGCACATGGGAAGGGAGACAATAGTCACATGTAAGAAACATGGTGCTTTTCTTGTAGTCTTTATTATCCTATCCAGTCAAATTATTTTCCTGAGTCATGTGGGCTATATTATTGAATTCCAAACAAGACCCGCTGCCGTGCTTTGAATTTAACAGAATGTAGGGCACTTCCTTCCCAAAATAAATGTACCAAAAGATGCCCGATTAACATGTCTTTGGGCATCAATCAGGGACAGCCTCTCCCATCTATGCATGAACTTGTAGTCGTCATCTGCAACCAAATGCCCCAAACAAATCCCTACTACCTTATAAACATTATCCGAAGCTGAAATTAATACACTACTACTACCACTTTCTTCTTTTTCTTTTTTTCTTTTTTTTTTTGTTGTAGAGTATGCAGCACTACTACTTTTAATTTCAATATAACACGATGGAGACACAAGAAAGGAATAAAGTTAGGATTGTCCTATGTCACATGGGTGTATGCATGCTGTGCCAAATTGCCAATGCCATTCTTCAACCTTACACCATGCAACTGATGACTACTAGAATAATTAGTGAACCCACCACCTAGTTCTTGGCCCGGTATGTGCAATATATATATATTTTTTGCTTTTTAATAATGTCTGCTAATGAAAAAATATTCTCATTCACTCATGAACTCCTTTTTTTTTATTTTAAAATTAAAATTTAAAATCTTTAATATAAAATTTCAATATCTCAACTACTAAAGCAATTGTAAAGAACAGTATGTTTATTTTTTTTTTTTTAACATAAGAAATTTGAGAAAAAGAGGAATATTTTTTTTAAATAGTAAGTGAGAGTAAAACCCGAAAGGTGAATCAATAAAATTGACGAGCTGGTTCAAAACAGTATGTTTAATTTGTTCAATGCACATACAGTATTTTTAATGTTACTTGATTCTTAAGTCAATGGAGGTATATATTATGACAACTTAGGAAACAAACATGTCATCTAGTGTAGGAGAGTGAAGGCCTGTTTCAACTGTGATTAATTAATTAATTAATTAATTGTAATTGCTTAGTTTGTTTGGTCCAAACTCCCACTGGGAACTACTAACAGTTAATTAGAATTTGGAGCTGATTTTCATTTCCCCTTTTGTTGATTAGTGAGATATTTATTGCTTCTACAATTGATTTCAAAATGAAAAAGTTAGTTTACTAATTTTTTTTTTCATTTTTTAAAGGAGATAGCGAAAGACGCTAATCAAACCCTCAACTCATCCTTCGTGGATGATTAGTCCCCAAACAAAATTCTCCGAAAAATTGACCCCTC